GGTGAGATTACTCAAACTTATCAGGTACAAGATTTTTCTTGATTGAACACCAAATTCTTGTAAACAATTTTCAAGGAAACATGTAGCAGCTAAAGGAGAGAATTAACAATCAGATCTTAGGAGTATAAGGGTCAAATAAGACTAAATTACTTTTTCTGAATCAGTAGTGAAAATAGGCCTTTTTTTGGCCAGGAAACAAACCAATTCAATTACATACCTACTAACACTTTTCCTTCTCTTTCATCGGTATCACTGCTTTCATTTTTTTCCTTTCCATCTTCGATTTCTTCTCTTGCAGCACCTTCTGTTCTGTAGTCATCAGCCATGTTTTCAGGTTCATCAGTGCCATTTTCATCATCCTCAACATCCTTGCTGACATTATCACCTTCACTATCTTCCTGTAATTTAATGTTTAAGCTTCACTGACTTCATCATTCTCAACATTTTTTCAAGAATTCTTGAGTAAGTCAAAAAATTAAGACAAATAGACTTGTTTTAAAAGCGACAATTCACCCTGAAAAATTTCCCCCCAAATCAAGCATCCCTGTGAGTACCTTTCTTACCACCAATCTATCATTGCATAGTACCAATTCCCGTAATTTAAGATCTTCTTCTGCACCCGCACTAAACCCTCCTCAAGAGTCATGAACTTTTGAGTATACAGCAGCTTTAGTTTTTGATTTAAAAAAATGAGGATCATCAGTGACTATAGTATATTTTGCCGCAGTGTAAGGAAACACTTATTAACAGGTTGTAATTCAATAAACTTGCCACTTAAGTGTACATGACAATCAATAACACTAAGTAATAATGATTTTGTTTTTCAATTTAATTTTAATTGTTACATATACATGCATCTACCCTTAGGATATTATTATCGTGGGTAAATTTAATGTTAACAAGTGAAGAGTTATTTTTATTTGATGAAGATAATGTAAATAAACCATTGTAATGTGTTTGGCCTGCAGTTTTCTTACTCGCATGCACATTGAAAGGCAGCCCAACTGAGAGAGCTGCCATGTTGTAATAAATGTGTTTGTTATGTTGTTCTTTTAAATCTGGTTTAATCCAGCTCATTTAAAACCATCATTGGTTCCTCGATATTTAACAACCATCACTATTATCATTATTAGTATTGTTATCATTATGTAAATACCAATTATGAAAATAAAGTATTGAAGTGCACACCTGAAGTTTCTGAACAGCTTCTGCATCTCCATTCACTTGTTTATTGGCCTCCTTAACTTCATCCTCATTTTCAGTTTGTACCATTTCCTCTTCAATTTCTTCCTCATCATTTTTGTCACTCTCATCATCTTTCCATTTCTCTTTCAACTCCTCTCCATATGATCCAGGACCTGCACCCAGTGAGTTGACCAGCTCCAGATAGAGATTGCCAACATCCTGTTCACTATCTGAACTGTCTATTTCATTACTCTATATTGGGAAAACAGCACAGTGTTCATAGTAAATGATTTGCAAATTTTCCCAGAAGCATTGTCAGTTGGCATAATTTTTCCTTTAAGAGGCTGATATGCAATAAAATTGCATATCCAAATCACTAGTGATCTGGATAGGTGTTTTAATTGGATATCTAGATCTATGCATAGCATGAAATGCAAATAAGAAAAACTACACTAATGGTTGATTTGGGAACACTTTCCTTAATAGCAGTTTACTTTCCCCTACACAACTTTTTGGGACATGAAAACAGTTAACTACAATACTTTCTGCTATAATCAAGCTCCAACTAACCATAGAGCTATAAACTAAATGAGCAAAAAACAACGTAAATTTAGTACATGCTTTGAATTCCAAAGAGACCACAGATGAATGGTAGCTAATAATGATATCCAAAATTATTCAACCAATGAAATAACATAACAATAGTGTTATGATTTACAGGATAATTAATATGGCAAATTTGAGAAGCAATCTAAAACACTTGTGTTTAGGGTCTGATCGAGGTATCCGAACATCTCAAGAAAAATAAGAGCACTTGGCGGAAGTGGCCTCATGCTTTCATTGGTTTCTCGATATTTGGATACTGTGATCAAACCCTTGCACTTGTTTTTTTATATACTACATACAGAAGACAACAGAAGACAATATACATTTCACAATCATTTCAGGATGGCTCATTATTATCTTAGTAGGTGTAATCCACCCATCAAGAAAACTAAGAGGAAAACATTTTTTTGAAAGAAGAACATTTTATTGTTTGAATCAGCAAATTATGCCCAGTAGATCCAAAGATATTATTCATTCAGTTCTTGCCTTGACATTACAAGACGGTAAACATCTCAAAATAATCTCAGTGACATCCACTGACGCGTAATGAAAAATAAAACTGTTCCTTGCAAAAATACCTCAAAAGGTGTGATCTACACATCGTGGAAACTTTGAGGGAATTTTCTCTTTGAAAGAACAGCATTTTGACGGTTGAATCAGCAACTTAAGCCCAAAAGAGCCGCTTAATAGTTGCGACATACGATACCTACAGTTTGCAAGGTGACCCTATTCAATGGATTATTACAGAATGGAGGATTCCACGTTGCTGTAATATTACAATTCAATTATAAATCAGAGACGTCAAAATGTTATGGAACTTTACACTGTCGATGAAAAACCTTCAAATGGAAGAATCTCTCGAATTTTACTGCCTAATGTGGATACCTATCCTCAGAGACCACTATTACCAGTCAATCCAAAACAGAGTGCATGGCATTCGACCGAGGTATACTATACTTAAAACCCTCGACTAAGCGAAACCATGAAGAAATGCTTGAATACCTCAATAGTGCTAGAATCCTTCTTCGGTTTCTTCACAAGAATCCCATCGTCACGTCTAAAGAACAAACAAAAACAACAAAATCCGTCCGTCAGATCACTGAGAATACAAAATGCATTTGCACGTGGGCATTATAAACATGTCATCCAGCACTCAAACACAACTTGCAATTACACCTACTCTGTATCGTTCGAATGTGATCCTACAATCTCTTTAAGGTTTCGCTTTTGGCCTTTCAATTTCTTTTTAAAATCGTTCTTTACCCGCCGTTGTTTCCAATGTTGTCTATTCTTTCTACCTTTCGCCATTTTGAAAATGAACGAGCGCAACACTGGGCACTAACTTAAAATCGGCTGGTCGTGGGTAATGTTCGTTCGATGTCGGGCATTTCCGTGGCGTATGAACCCCTCCGGAGACGTAGATTATGGCTGCGACTCGGATGGAGCCTGCCTCTGGCACTGTTAGAGTGGGAGTCCTAACAGTTAGCGACAGATGCTCCCGCAGAGAAGCTGAAGATAAAAGTGGGCCGAATTTACAGAGGTTGGTTAATTCCTCTACTCTGAATGCCAGTGAGGTACTCTATGACTGTGTCCCTGATGAACGGGACGAAATAAGACGAGTTCTTCTGAACTGGAGTGATGTTGAAGAATTGCACCTCGTGTTGACGACAGGAGGCACAGGATTTTCTCCAAGAGATGTCACCCCTGAGGTTACAGCGGAAGTTATCGAAAGATCTGCTCCGGGCCTCTCATTGGGAATGCTGTGCGGATCCCTTGAGGTTACTCCCATGGCCATGTTGTCCAGGGCTACCTGTGGTATAAGGAAAGGAACAGTGATTGTTAATTTGCCTGGAAGTGTTAAAGGTTCACAAGAATGTTTCCAATTTGTTTTACCAGCTTTACCGCATGCCATAGAGGTGCTAAGGAATAGTCCAAATGTGAGTGTCACCCATTCAGCAATGCAACATGTCTGTCCACACAAGGCTCACAACAAACCAATACAAGATCTCAGCAAAGTAGCTGAGAGGGATCGCCATTCCCCATATCCACTTGTTCAGATGGATGAAGCCCTCTCTATGATCATGAATAATTCTCACTGCCTCTCAACAACAGTTTTACCCATAGAAGATGCTTTAGGTTATACACTGGCATCAAATGTCAGTGCAAAAGAACCCCTCCCCCCTTTCCCTGCATCAGTCAAAGATGGGTATGCTGTATTAGCTTCAGATGGACCAGGAGAGCGTTTGGTCTTGGGTGTAGTCACTGCAGGGGAAGTAGCTACTTGCAGTGTCACTTCTGGCCATGTGATGCGCATCAACACTGGTGCACCTCTGCCTCCTGGTGCTGATGCAGTCATCCAAGTGGAAGATACAGAATTACTGGAGAGTGATAACGATGGAAGAACTGAGAAGAAAGTTAAAATCCTTACAACTCCTAAACCTGGCCAAGATATCAGACCTGTTGGTTTTGATGTCAGTGTAGGGGAGCAAGTACTCACAACAAATCAAAAACTAGGACCAGCAGAACTGGGTCTTTTGGCCTCACTGGGAGTCACCAAAGTAGAAGTTTTCCAAAAGCCAAGAGTTGCTGTGCTTTCTACTGGAAATGAGGTTGTAAATCCAGGAGAGGAAACCAAAGCAGGGCAAATCAGGGACAGTAATAGAATCGCTTTAAAGTCGCTGATTAAAATGCATGGATTTGAGGCCCTTGACTTAAAAATAGCAGCTGACACACCCCTGGAGTTGGAATCCTCTCTAAAAAGTGGCTTGGAAAAGGCCGATGTTCTTGTTTCATCTGGTGGAGTATCAATGGGAGAGAAAGATTTTCTGAAACCTGTTCTACAAGACAGACTTGGGGCAACTATCCATTTTGGGAGAGTTTTCATGAAGCCTGGTAAACCAGCAACCTTTGCCACAACCACAATTGATGGGAAGAGAAAACTTATATTTGCCCTTCCTGGAAATCCAGTCTCTGCAATGGTCACTTTCAACCTGTTTGTTCTCCCAGCCCTGCGAAAGATGTCTGGCTCAGAACATCCCCATCTAACAAAGATCAAAGCAAAGTTACCTCAACCAGTAAACCTGGATCCAAGGCCTGAGTATTACAGAGTCACCCTGTCTTGGAAGCCAGGAGAAGCTATTCCATCAGCAATATCTACTGGTAGTCAATGTAGCAGTAGATTAATGAGCATGAGGAGTGCTAATGCAGTGCTTGAGCTGCCACCTAAGAGTGAAACTCTAACCAGGATTGATGCAGGAGAGATGGTGGATGCATTGGTGATAGGGGAAATCTAAATAACTCAAGTGTGAAAATTAGAAATAACAATCCCAATATATTTAAATGGGTCTGGTTTTTACTAACTTGTCAACTATCTGCTGATAGCAATCATAATTACCTCAAACAGGTTGTTTGTCCTACATTTTAATTTTAAGTGAATTTTCAGAGGCTGACAATTCACTTAAGTCTTAAACTAGCCCCAGGTTATGTCATCAGGGTCAATTTACTTGGCACTCCACACTTTTATGATTTTCTCCAAAGAAAAGTTTAATACCTCTTCCAGAATTTCACTTAAGAAACAATTCAGGTGGGCAGCTCAGCTCAAACTTTGCAGCTCAATAATTTGAGGGAGAAAATAGAGACTCATCATACCTTTAACCCTTTAACTCCCATGAGTGACCAAGACAGAATTCCTCCTTACAGTATCAATACAATATCAAGCAGACTAGTGATGAGAATAAAGAAAAATATTAATTAGGGGATTATTAGTTGATCCAAGACTAAATTCTCCAAACTAACATTACAAGAACTACACAGCAGACAGTAAGGAGAATTACTAATGAGATCTTAAGATGTATCTAATCTTACTATACCGTCAGATGTTGATTTTTATAATCCATAGGCAGGAACCTTTAATACTCAGAATCAATTACTTTCTGAGAAACTTAACTCAGATTGAACATCAAGATTGAAAGACATGATCAAGATGGTAGCACTACTCAGTGTTAACCTGAACTAATTATGTCCTGAGCCACACCAATCGCAAGGACAGATCTGTAATTGTGTGACAGAATCTCTAATATATTGGTCAATGTAATAAAATGTAACACTTTGAATAATTCAATGCTTTGTTTTTATGGTGAGGATACTTAGGTTTGTTCATTATTGATTTTTGTGAAAACCAGGAAACTGTGAACTTTTTGATTTTATTCTGACAGCTCACACATGAGAACTGACCAATCACAATAAAGTTCCTTATACATAAGCAAACATCAAAACCTCAGACTAATTACTATTGCTGTTGGTGGCACAGATCCCTCTGCCTTATTACCTCTTTCTTTGAAACACAATTATTACAGCTTTCGATCAATTTTTCCTGTGTTCTTTCGTGTGGTCACACTTCTTGTTTTAGTTTCACAGTAATTTGTAGCCCCCCCAAAAATAGTTCTGATCCTTTGAGACAAAAAACTCGGCTTCAGTTATGCAGATCAAGGGTACTTTTATTTTTCTTGTACGCAAAACTCACTACCCTACCCTCCCTGGAGATATGGATGTTTAGTCTGCGCAACCCACAGTACGCATGTACGTGTCGTAAACTAAAGCTTTTCGTCTTCCGGTGAAACCGCCGAAGTAGGTGATTGAAGAAGGATGAGTAATTCGTTAGGACTTTTTCTCGGCGGGATTTTCGCACTTGTCGTCGCAGGATACATTGCTCAAAGTCGTCTACCTCCTCCCAAACCCAAAATTATCGGCATAGATTTAGGAACAACGTTTTCTTGCGTCGGAGTTTATCAAGCAATCACAGGACATATTGACATACTGGCTAATGAAAATGGCACCAAAGTCATTCCCAGCGTCGTTGCCTTTACCGGTGAAGGAGTGTTGGTGGGAAAAAGAGCCTTAGATCAAGCTGAACTGAATCCAAGATCGACGATATACGATGCCAAACGATTTATTGGAAAGACGTTTTCGAAGGAAGACTTACAAAAGTTGTCTTCTCTCTACCAGTTTAAAATCACTTCTGACGAAAAGAACAATCCTAAGTTCGTGGTCGAAAGTCATGGCAACGTTACTTTAGTATCGCCAGAAGAAATCGGAGCGGCTATTTTGAGGGAGTTGAAGCGAACTGCTGAAAGAAACATCACCAGGGCAGTGAATCAAGCTGTAATGTCGGTCCCAGCAGAATTCAATATGGCACAGAGAAATGCAACGATCAAGGCAGCTTCTCTAGCTGGGATCAAAGTTGTACGGCTTATAAATGAGCCCACAGCGGCAGCTATGGCATACGGACTTCATAAAAAGGAACGAGTTTCTAATGTTATGGTTGTTGACTTGGGTGGTGGAACATTGGACGTTTCATTGCTTAACATCCAAGGGGGAATGTTTGTAACTATGGCTATGGCTGGAAACAACCGGCTAGGTGGTCAGGATTTCAATTCAAGACTCATGTCTTACCTAATGTCTGTTATAGAAGATAGGTTTGGCGAGGAACTCACAAATGCTGAAGATATACAGCGTCTGAGACAAGAAGTTGAATCAGCAAAAATTAACTTGACAACAGAGGCAGCAGTGACAGTAAGATTGCCTCTGCCTTCTCTGAATCATGGGGACAAACATGTCCTTTTCGAGGAAATAATCACAAGGTTAACTTTTGAAAAGTTAAATGAAGACTTGTTTCAGAAAGTACTACAGCCCATCAAAAGGGTATTAAAAGAAGTTGACCTTCCGAAAGAAGATGTTGATGAAGTGGTTCTAGTTGGAGGATCAACGAGGATTCCTAAGGTGCGGCAGCTTATTGAAGAATACTTCAATGGAAAGAAACCTAATGTTGCCATAGACCCAGAGCTGGCAGTAGCCACAGGGGTGGCGATACAGGCTGGCATCATTGGTGGAATGTGGCCTCTTCAGGTGTCAGCCTTGGAACTTCCAAATCACAATCTCAGAAAGATTCAGATTGAGTCCTAATTTATTAATAATAATCTTCTTAACTTATAGAAAATCAATGAGAGATGATTGAAGAATTACAGAAAATACTGTTATCATTTAATGGGGACAAACTCCACATAACTTTTTCTGGAAAAAAACATTTAAGCAAAAGTTGTCAACACAAACAATTTTTTTTATCAGATCCTGACAATCATTCAGATTACTGTAATATCAAACACCAACAGCAGTGTTCTACACATCTTCCCTCACTTGAGTCATCACATTACAGCCAAAAATTCATTTAAATTGTATACATTTGGTAAAAGCCATTAGATGGATTTCCAACATTGTAGAGTTTTACAAGCATGGCAGTTCAGAGGGTACTAAAGATCTTTAAAAATGTTGGGAAAGCTATTCCCTTTGTAAACTAGAAAAGTATTTAATATGTAGTCATATTCCATGGACCAAAAGACTATTGCAAGATTATCTACTCACAATTCTCAATTTTATTTATTTTAAGAGTTTAATGTCTTATAACCAATTATTTTTTTTATAGACTGAGGTGTAAAATCAAGTAAAAACAACACTTCAAAAAAGAGATTTTAGTTTCTTAAAAATTATACTTAACTCATATCAGATCATGATCTACCAGAAGAAATGTTTTCTCTCATGCAGGTCGTGAGAGTTTCAGCAATACTCACTTCACAATTGGCTATGATATGATTATGAAATTTCAAAACAAAATTTCCTTACTTGTAAACACTAAACCCTTTGTAACAAGTTACCATGATTGTTCCTTGTGATTTTGATGTAATTCTGTTCTCTCATGCCACATGCAAGTAAATTATAAATTATGTGCCACTAATATCTTTTATTTAACAAAGACAGTGAATTATGTCATTTGAAAAATTTTAAGACATTTGTTTATAGTATAAAAGTCTGTGATAGTGTAGTTCTATGAGGTTGCTGTTGGAATTATTTTAATAATTTCTGCCAATAAGTTTGATGTATTATCCAATATACAGCTGATGAGAATGGAAAGAGGTTTAGCTGGTAGGCATGACATCAAAACATAACAGAAAATTTTTATCTAAGTTTAAAGATGATGTTTCACAGCTAAAAGGCTGTTGGAGAGTTGTTGAAACAAATATTACCCAGAGAAGCAATTGAAATGCCAGACATATGAGAGACCATCAGGTCACATCCTGTGAGTGAAAATTATTTAATTCCAATTTCCTGGAATGTATGTATATTATGAACACAGTAATAACACTTTGTGTATTACAAACTACATATAGATTTATCTCAAGAAGTAATTAATAAAACAAGTTAAAACAGAGTTTTTTAGCAAATTGATTGCTGTTTTTTTCACCACCCTCATAATTTCTGCAAATATATTACTCTATTTTCCAATATGCTTTGGATGCTATCTTTTTAATAAAGGGTTAGAATACTTATAACCAACATAGGTGTTGTTATATTACTATACAAATGTTATCTTCAGATATGGTAAGGTCCTCTAGTGAAAATTTAAGTAATCCTAAGAAAAAACTAATGCCTTTTGATAGAAGATAAGTTGGCCAGTATTAATAAATGAGGGTAAACTAGTTGGCTGGTTTTGTAACTGATGATATACTGTCTTATGCCTTAGATAACAATGAAATTTTTATCCAGTTTTGATGAAAGTATAAATATTTTTTGAAGAAGACTTGCTTTCTCCTGCTCTATATTGTTACCATATCATTAACTTCTGGTAATTAAAAAGTACAGAATGTAAAATGAAAACCCTAGAACTCATGTGAAATTGTTGTTTGGCATACTCAATTGCAATGCTGCAATCAGTTTGGTTGTAGATTAAATCACATCTTATTAATTCTTCACAAACATACTAAAGCACTAAGTGCCAAATAGTAGTTCCATGAATCGTTGATGTTTCTGGAGTCTACAAAATCATTTGAAAAAATCACTCATTTAAAAATACAAAAAAAAAATTCTTTGCCTCAGGCTTAGGAAATTTTGTTGAATAATCCCTTCTTTTGTACTGAGAGCTATTGCACCATGTTCAATTCACCTCTAGCAAATAATTATTGTTGAATATTTTTGCACATGGTAATTTCATGACACAGACCACTGTCCTGTAACACTAAGTTTACTGTCCATTCTGGCCACAGGACCCTTACCAAGTCTCTTCCCTAAGACACTCAATCTGGACCTTGCTACATCCCAGTCAATGTATGCTGATTCCAAACATCTACCCCCTTCCTCTGAAAGAGTGTACCCCTCCCTTCCGTGGAGGACACGGTCATTATCAAACACAATCATCTCTCCTGGAGAAAGCTTGTGAAGAAACATATTTTTAGGATCTTTCAATCTCTTGGTTAATGAATAATAGGCTTTGTACATCTCATGGATTTTTTCTGCTGGCACACCCAAAAAGTCCAGTCTACAGCCTTCATTGTGGTTGCATCGTAATAGTCTGCCATGATGATCTAGCCTGAAGGATTCCAAAAAATAAATATTGCATTATTTAACAAGTGGGATAGCTAAATAGTCAGAATTATGATTTGGGGTTTGATTTGACGAGCCATCTTAAAACCTAGAACTATGTGCTTTATTTTAAAAATCCTGTAATCAATTTTGGAAAATGCCTTTTTCTGGGTCATAAACCTTAACAACAAATGCAGTTAACCCTTTAACCCCTAAGAGTGACCAACCTCTAACTTCTCCTTACCATACCCCCCCTGAATCACACATTAAGGTCAGGAGAATAAAGAAGCTGATCACCAAATAAAGAAGCTCTTGATTATTAGACAAGTTTTCCATGTCGGCATCTTAGGAAATGATTAGAGAACAGCATGGAAAATGAGCATACTGATGTTAGGGTGTAAAGGGTTAATAACATTTTTAATTTCTTTCAAGTGCTGCCAGAATCTCACTGTGATTCAGTCTTTTTACAGTTGTTATTTTTCCTCTGCACAGTGTCTCTTCAATTAATCAGAGATGAAAAAAATAGCATCACTCTGCTAAGTATACTTTATTGTGATCAAGGTTTGACAACCCTTATTATTTCAAACTTGCAAATGAAATTAAGAACTAAATGATTTAGTACAAAATCAATAGTATTGATTAACCTAATCTTTTAATTATAACCACACTATTTCCTTAAATCTTTAAACCTTAACATTAAAATGTATAATTTCCATATTGTTTACTACACATTTCCCATCATAGTGGTGCTGAAAAGATGAATTTGTTCAATAATCTAAAGCTTCTTAGGTTGGAAATCATTTCCTTCATCCTCTTGACCTTGATAGTTGATTAAGGGGTGATACTGATGTTAGAGATATTAGAGATATTAGATACTAGTCACCCTTAACCCTTTCCACACTTACATCAATATGCATATTCTCCATAATGTTCCCTGTTAATTTCCTAAGGTGCTGACAAGGAGAATTTGTTTAACAATCAACAGCTTCTTTGGTTGGTGATCATGTGTGATTCAGGGTTGATTTTGTAAGGAGAAATTAGATGCTAGTCACTCTTACGGGTCAAAGGGTTCAAGAGCTTCTTCAGTTGGTGATCATTTCCTTTATTCTCATGACCTTAATGTGTGATACAGGGATGATATTGTAAGGAGAAATAAGATGCTGGTCACTCTTTAAGTGTCAAAGGATTCAAGAGCTTCTTCAGTTGGTGATCATTTCCTTTATTCTCATGACCTTAATGTGTGATACAGGGGTGATATTGTAAGGAGAAATTAGATGCTGGTCACTTTTAGGGGTCAAAGGATTAAGGTTTGAAGGGTTGGTACACATTCACATAACATCTGACAACTTACTCAAGAAGTGGTCTTGCACCTTCCAAATCATATTCACCAAGTATGTCAGTTCCACTTGTTCTGAAAAGAATATGAGTTGTGGTGAGCAACTCATAAGCGCCAGGATCTTCCTTCTTTAATTGCTGAGCAACATGAAATGAATCAACCAGGGAATTTTCTCCTCCTTCAGTTGGAGTCTGTTCCTTGCAAAATAGCATCTGTATCTAAAATAATTTATACCAAAATAAAAAAATGAAATCATTTAGATTTAAATGTTCTTCACTTCAAATTTGATTTCTCTCTTTACTAAGGGATAAAACACCTTAGAAAAGGTCATCCTCACGACACCAAACTTTTTATTCAAGTCTGAATGAATAAGATATTAAATAAAACTTATTATCATTACTACCATGCCACAGCATTCACATCAGATCTAGTTACAATTCCATTGTAAACTCCACCACATCAGTGTGGGTTAAAACACAAAAAGATTCATCCCACATGATATAGTTCGTAATCCTCCCCTCTGACCTCAATGCATTTTCTTGTTAGTAATATACATAAAAAAAACATTACATGCTAAGGTTGTTGAAACTTCAGTCACTGCCACTGTCAATTTTCCTTCTCCAGACTACGCTCACCTGAACGATCAGACTACGTAATCAAATGTTATCTAGAGTTCAAACCAAATACCGCATAAAATTCACTATCAAAAGTTATCTTTCATACCCCTGGTTTGGCTTCATAGTACGGCAGATCAGAATGTAAAGGCAATGTGTAACTTGTATAGGCAACACTGTTGGCCTGTAGCCTTGTTGATACCACTATTGTTTTCCTATGAGAAAATATTCCAAATGTTAATTTAGAAATTGTTGATAAATAACAGTCTTCCAATGTTAATACAGTCACATTGCAAATGAAAAAGTGAATGACTGATTGACTGACTGACTAAATAACTTACTGAGCAACTTACTGACTGACTGACCAACTGACTGAAGGACCAAATTACTGACTGTGCAACTTACTGACTGACTGATTGACTGAATGACTAAATTTCTTACTGAACAACTTACTGACTGACTGACTGACTGACTGACTGACTGACTGACTGACTGACTGACCAACTAACTAAATGACTCAATGACAATGAACCTTACCCATAAGCTGTCATTCTCAAGTAACCTATGTGTTCCCCTAGCTTTTCCACCAGCCCATCTTGAATTGGCATGTCAGTGACCAGGGCCAATCCATATCTATACAAACTGTTTAAAAATTCAAACTCCACCATCTCATCTTGAAGAATGTCATGATATTTCATGTGAGGAATGTGGTCCTTAAATTTACTTCCCCAAAGGTTCACTTTCCTAGTAGTTACATCCTCACAAACTCTGTCTTTTAACTCTGCTTCAGTTGGTAGCCGCTTCACGAACAGAAAGTCAGCGTCAAGAGTGGTTTCGTGTTTGTCTGGCCATGCTATTGAAAGTTTACTTCCATCCTCACTCATTTCAACATTGGTAGGTCTGATATTCAGATCAACATCTCTTACGACATCTACAAGGCGCTGATTAGAATCCTTGAAATAGCACTGTGAGCATTGGCAGTTGTCCCGAAGGTATATGTAGGGATATGCATTTGAAGTGTCATCTTGCCAAGTAACATTTAGCATTTTCTTTCCTGATTTCTCTTCTATACCTTTCATCACAAACTTGCTGAGCTGTACAGATGATGAACCCAAACAGCGACACACACATTTGGAAAGTTGGTTTGACAGTCTTATACCAGCAGAACTTGCTCTCCATATCCCAGTCATGACAGGTTGGTATTTGGTCTGTATATTATACAAAGAAAAGGGCAAATGAAGAAAAAAGGGTAGAGGTTTCGTCCAATTCTTTTCTTCTACTCCAAGTTTGTACCAGGGCAAACTATGGGGATGGGCTGACAAATAAAATGAGGCTGAAAGTGTTGGATGCTTGTCATCTTGCTCTATAGAAATCAATATCTGGTTTCAGCCTCACTTAGGCCGCCCAACGGTTTCTAAGGTTGCTTCCAAAAAGAAAAGATGTTTGATAGGGGTTGGGTGGGGTGGGCCATTACGTCAACTTGAGAAGCCCCTCAAGTGCAAGAGGTGCAGCTTTGTATGTGGGAATCTGGAGAGAATCTTCCTGCACAAAATTTTGAAATAACAGGTTTTCGTAAACTTAAGTTCTTGCCGTTGAAGGCAGTCTGGTTAAAATCACGCAGCCCGAAGCGGAAATAGTTTTTCCTTAATATCAGCTATCACTGGTAAATTCACCCCAAAACAAATCATTGCCCTGGTGCGACTGAAAGTCACGATTTGACTAATGGTGCAATCTATTGATACACTGCGAGGAGCAGAAAAGGTCATAATTCAGATAATTAACTTCATACTTTAAAAATACGAAACTACGTTCGGACAGACCCAAATTCCTTTTTTCAGCGAAAAAAGGAACACTGTCAGCCAACAACATTGTTCAGTTTGTTGCTTGAAGAGGATGCGGTTTTGCCAATAAGTGACCTAAAGTATGAACTAACCTTTACGATCAATATGAGAGACCGCAAGATTTTTTTTCTGGAAGTCACAACAAAATTCGCAGCGACGGTATCATCGACTGTGACCGTCTTGTGATCGACGGTTGTCACGCACTATGAGATTAGAAGTAGCGTGACGCATGATGTCATCACGTGATTTCCGAGAGGGTAGGTCCTATTTTCTGACGTCATAATGTTTCCGGTGGCGCGCTATAAAACAGAGGTGCCTTAGGTACCTCTAGATCATTTGTCAATCAACTGTCGTGGCATACAAAAATCCAAAACAGCTTAAACTGCAGCTGATGCATGGAAGAATTTGTTGAAGTTTGTATTACCTTCCTCCGATCGAAACCTTCTTCATTTGTGGCAGTAAAGTTGAAATTCGAAATGATTCGCTGCGTCATCGCGTAATATTGCTATGGCTGAAAAGAAATTAACGACAGTTACAAGGAGAGGAATTCAGAGGAAAACTTTGAAAGGACAGTTGCGACAGAATGGCTGCGGTCTTGAGAGGCGCGTTTTGATAACAAAGGGTCGAACACCGGGCACGCGCGAGGAGATCTGGCAGAAATTTCCCATGCAAAAAAGACCACTTTAGTAACTTCTGACAAACCAGCTTGGTATTGGATCAATAAAGTATTTTACGGACTACAAAAGCCTCTATTTGAGCGACTGAGTTCCACAATTTCAAAATGGATGTTATAAAATGGTACTTTAATTTCGTGTTGTGTAATTTTGGTGTGAAATTATACTTGCGATTTCAAATCAAACTCGCGCTGTGCGCTCATTCGATTTCCAATCATGCGTGGGATCTAAGACCAAAATGCACTCCACTCAGTTCAGTTAACATTAGTAACCGAAAATGTCATATGCTTTTAAAGTGGCATAAACATATTCTAAAGGTTTTGCAAAACATGAATGGATAAAAAGACAACATAGAAACTACGCTCGTCAAACTCCAGGTTTCAGAATGTTGAGAGAGTTTCGAAGAATTCACGTTATTCTCAGCGCTAATGTGACCTCTTCGAGATGCCGTTAAGAAAATAAGCTTTGTGATGAAGTGTTATACTTTGTAAATTAGCTATTCTTTTAACTTAGCATTTTGTTTTAAGCCTTAAAAAAAAGTCAAACGTTTTTGGAATACCATCTTTAAAATTAATTAGCTTTTGTGGTTATTTTAATACTTGACTGAGACAAACCAAATCTGGACAGATCTGGACGCAACAACATATTGAGCGCTTTTCGGGTGAGTTTCAAAAATAGTTGGTGATCGCTTTCATTTTGCTTTACCACGGTTGTGCTTGGACTAGAAAACTCAAGCCATTCTCTACCAATCAGATGTAAAACTTAACCCAGTCTTGACTGTACTTGGTTCTAGAAGACATTTTTCTTAAACTTTGAGATTTCATTGGTTCCTTGCCATGTTTCCCACAATCCTTACTGACCGTAGTGGTAACTTTGGTCTCAGTCTTACAAGATTCACTTGTATAGCTCCATAAAATCTAAAACCATTTATATAGAACCAATAAATACACGCTTTATTCCAATATCTACCACAACACTGTTGCTAGAAAACAGAGCATTGCAGCTCTTTTTACATTAGGTAACTTCTCCTTAGTTTTCTGAGAGAAATTGCAAATGTACACCGTGCTTAACACTTAAGTTTGCACTCTATTAGAGTCTTTTTTACTGTCTGAAGTATTCACATCTCTCCTATGTACAGATTAGTCAATCCAACATTACCAATTTGTCTGATATTGGATATTCAGGTCCAATTTCAGGTTTGTATGTGGAGCCTTTTTCCAGCTCATAACAGGTGCATCAAAAAACTGTTTTAGCAAATTGATTAAGAAGTAAACCCAAACATTTTCTGTTTCTAAAAAAACGTCAACAAATAATTTCTGACATATATTAACTTTTCATAATTTTTAACTCTCTCAAAGAAAGTGTACAACTAACTTTGCAATCAATCAAAACAGAACCAAAAAATTATCAGTGACGCAAGAGAGTCAGATGCCTTCAGAACATCCTGAACACAAAAAACATGATTAAAGAACAAATTAAGTGTGCAACATAAAAAAAAAAAAAAAACATACATTTGGTTGACAGCACTACCATAAATTCAGATTTTTTTTACTAGACAACTCAGTAACAAAATCCAGACTGTGAATGTTTAGGAACAGAACCCAGAGGAAGCTGCTGTCAAAATGGTATGACTTCAAAGAAAGAGAGGTTCTTTTAACACATGTCTGTCTATTGAATTAAATTCAAACTATTTACAAGACCCTTCAATCTGCTGCACTGCAACAAGTGTTTTGTTTACAAGACCTAACAAAACAAAATAGAGCTTATCACTTTAAAATGCGGTTACTTTTGCTGAAAAGACAAAGGTCAACTCTGCCAATGCACAATGAAAATATGACTCATTCCCAGATTCCCATCTACGGACCACAGCTTGAGGAGTCATGGACACTACTTAGAGGAGAGGATTAAACCCTCTCATGATTCATTGTAGACCTTCAAAGATTTAGAACTTTCTGATTTTTAACTATTTCTACTATCTTTGTTTCACCCATAAAGATAAAAAAAGAGTGAGAAAAGAACCACTTCACACTTCTTCCACAACGCTAGACTGATTATTCTCCTTTACAGCATGCAAATAAAACTTCTTAGCCTTGTTTAAAGGAAGAAAAATCTTTTTTCAACAAGGCTGGGAAGGCCTTTTTCCATGCAGATAAAAGTTAAGATTTCATAAATACCATTCAGGAAAGAAGTTAGTGGACTGGCATACTCAAGTTATATATTCAATATTTTGAAACTGAACTTGACTTTAACACTCAAGAGCTGTCACTCTTGATCTGGGTGATCTGGGAATGATTGCACAACATTACATAATCCGTAGAAATTTCCATAACAAAAAATATTATTTCTGTCCGGCCAGTTTGCCAGAGCACAAAATTATTCAACCATATAAATACAACTTGAGATACGACAAGCTTATATGCAGCCATAAATGTCTACGGCTATACTGCTAGAGCACAAATTTCAAAACTTCTGTTACCATACAAGAATTCTTCTTCTTCAAAGGCTAAATACAGAACCAAATGGTGAAAATTTCATCATTCTCACCACATGACTTTAAGTCAAAAAATATATAAATTAGGAATAACTTAGCTATATCATGTACATAAATAGTCATTAACAGTCAAACTGTGGAAGGGATACTTTATATGAACTGGTTCAATTTTCTTTTAGATTGAAGTTACTAGCATCAGTGATTCTTGGAAGGCAACTTTGAGGAAAGTTTTTCATCATCATCTGGTCTCTTAACATGAGTCTTCATATGGGCTGACCTGCTCTTTATCTTGTGGAATATTCTGCAAGTGGATTGAGAGGTGTATTAGCATTGTGACAGACACAACTAATCGAAATGCACTTTGTTAAATAACTTGATTTACATCTGTGATCCTGATAACTTTTGACATCAAGCAATCAAAGTTTCTTTGATAGCCACTGCACAAAACAATCACTTGAAAGACAATTAAGCATTGGAAAAGAAAAACAGACCTGAGAAAAAGGAAAGCAACACCCTCTCAGCTAAGGCCCTTGCCAAACACAGGCCCTAGCTAAGGGCAGGCCATAGCTGTAGTGTCATATCTTTAACCCTTTAACTCCCAGTTCTCCCCTTTAGCTGCTACACATTTCCTAATAAATTAGTCTACCTGATAAATTTGACTATTCTCATTACCTGTTTGCTGGATAATGTATGAATATTTTAGGGGGAAGTTATGTGTCTATCATTTCTGAGAGTCAAAGGGTTAAGAGTGGGTTCATCATGGGAATATATCGGCACAACTGCATGATTGTGCATTAAATATGAATATTTATGTTGTAAAATGTATTTAAGTGAGTAGAATATCGATTGAAGTGTGTTGTAAGTTGTGACCATATAACTCAAATATTGAAACTATACATTAGCTTTGTGCTGGCCTTAGATAAGCACAGACCCTGGCTACGCAGTCTATATCATAGCCTAGCTAAGCTTGAAATAACTCAATGGAAAGTCAGTTCATATGCAAGGTGGTGCTGATCATGCTTTAGCATGGACCTAAGAAAGAGAGCTACTAACCTCCCACAGACTTTACATGCAAACTCAGGTAATTGCCCATCTGGATTATTTAAATCAGGGTGCACTGAAGCAGGTGCTGGTGATGGAGACTTCCTCTTCCTAACTACAGGTGCCGAATTTGTTCCATTAGAGGCAGATGAACCTGCAGTGTTTCGATTCTTACGTCTGTTTGGTTCCGAAGGCTTCATAAAGCTGTTGAGAATATTGTGGTTATCATGTGAAATTAGGAGCAAACATTCATTGATTGAATTCAGGTGTACAAAAACAACTCATTTGAAAAGAGAACAAGTATAGCTATTAAAATACCCATTGGCTCGCTCATGGAAAGTGAGCTTCAAATCTTGTATTAGGAAGCATTCTTTTCAAAGAGCAATTTTCAGTTAAGTATTAATGTAAAGCAGGATTGTATTTATGTAATTGATCCAGAAAACTCTTGGCTCTTTCTCTACCAGTCACAGAGATTGTCATTATTTTTACCTTAATAATTAGGTGGTTTAAGCCATAATAAATGTAAGCAACATTATACAATTCAATTGGTTTGTTTCACCAATTCAAAGTGAATTTTAAGTCACAACATCACACTGGTTCACTACTGTTTCTCAACTATGCTTTTGGAAAAGCCGTTGCAATTTACATCAAGAAAATTACCGAAAAGATATATTTACCTTCCTCCATGGACACGAATATGACCATTCAGTGCTTGCCTGGACACAAATTTCTACAAAAATGAAAATAAAAAAATTTTTAGGTCTCATACTATCAGCTTCCATGGTTGAGCGAAAAGTTACTTATGAAAAAAACATTTCTGTGCTTAATCACAAATATTTCAATCCCAGTTACCAATATAGAGCAATAACAGTGTTAAACAATGGATAAACATGCAAATAGTAAAAAATAATCATAATACAAAATTGAACCTAAATTTTTCTTGCTGCTGTAAAGAAATGGATTTGGGCAGCAACTCTAT